TAGAAAATTCTGCTTTGTCTTATGACTTCCTTCCAGGCGTTGATTTCGACGGAATGCGATTTGAACGCGTCTACTGATCACTTTACGTTTGTTCTCTTTCTTCATTGTTTTAGTTTGACACAGAAAGATTTGTTCTTTTTTTTTTTTTTCTTTTAAACTTTCAATTTTACTTTTGTTTATTGATTGGCTTTTGACTTTTTTTTATCCATTTTACGCTTCTTCATTTTTTTTTTTTTTGATGTACGACATTTTTGCGTTCGCGATCATTTCAATATTTGCAATTTGTTCACGCTTACATTTAACCATTTGGGGTTTACTTATTACGACCGTCTAGACACCTAGAAAACACACACACACACACACACACATATATATATATATATATATACCCCTTTTGTATTGTAAACTGACACTACACTTAAATACATTCCTTCTTTCGTCTTTTTCTTCAACATTTATAAATGTAGTCTTAATAGTTTCTGTGTTTTCATTTTCTTTCTGTTTTTTTTCAATTCTCTTTTCTCTCTTTCTTTTTCTTTCTCTCTTTTTCTTTCAATCCTTCCCTTTTCTTTCTTTCTTTCTTTCTTTCTTTCTTTCTTTCTTTTTTTCCTTTCTTTCTTTCTTTCTTTTTGTTTCAATCATTCACTTTCCTCTCATTCTTTCTTTTCTTTCAATCCTTCTCGTTTCTATTTTTCTATCATTCTTACAACAGTGTAGTATACACACACACACACATATATATGTATATGTGTATATGAAGAAATATATTTTTAAGCTGTGCTATATTTATGGGATAAATTGCTCAATATCAAAGATAGAGCGTATGGCGATTCCATTTGAAATAAGTAGATCACATGATGGTAAAGGAAATGTATACATGGGAATTAGCGTGGCGTCTAATTGATCACTATTTCTACACTATCCTCTATTACTATACGGATCGCTCTTCTCTATACTAATCGCTACACTATATTCGGGCTAGAAGTCCAGTTCTGGTCAAAAAGTGTGATTTGGCCCGAAAGTGCGATTTGGTTCGACATTTCAATTCAAAATGAAAATTGAGTTCTTCAAATCACAAACGCTGTGGAACTTCAGAACCTCACGTCACGAAATCTGTACCTTTAATTCGGATTCCTTGGCATTTTGAAGAAATAAAATTGATTTCCTCACTTCAAAAAGTTTTTGAGATATTTTCAACAGAATTTAAAACGATTTTTTAAAAATTCATATAGCGAAGAAAACGGCGACTTAAATCGTCAAACCAAGGAACAGCGTGTCGTGTGTATCCTACGACGGAAAATGTGGCGAAAAAGAAAATTACTTACCAAAAAAAAAAAAAAAAAAAGAAAAAAGGCACGTATTCCGCATGACATTCTGAAGACGGAATATTTTAGAAACAAGTCAGTCGCTATAAAAGTATTTTGATATGCAAAAATTGAGCGTCCTCTTCCAGTTGTCGACGAATGAAAAAAAATGCTCGGCCGATGAAAGCAAAAGAGAAAATAAAATTGGGGTATTTCGGCTACCGCGTTTGTCGGAGAGTGGGTTATTTTTCTGACTGGTTAAGTGCATTGTGATTTGTGAGATATTACCTGCGAATCGAGTTTTCGGCATTTCTTTCTGCACCTGATGTTTGAGTCTGAACTTTCAGTGATTTATTCTCTGCGTTGTGGAAGTAATCTGAGACAAATATTTCCTTTGCAATCCCAGATCGCTTACAATTCACAAAGTTTTTGTGTTATTTAAACTCAATATAAATTAAAAGCTTTTCTAATGCTCCGAATTGAATGAATTTATATACCAAGAATGTTTACTTCCGAAGAAATCTAAAAGAGTCAGATTTTTCTAAGATGATACATCTGATGAGGTGATCAAGTGATGATAAGATGGCAATTTTTTAATTCTTAATTCTAAAAAATTCTTAATAATAGAAAATTCGTTATTTACGTATTTTAACTTTAATAACGACGATTTATTTTAACAAAGAAAAGAAATTGATATGATCAGTTGAAGTTTTCCTTTTTCCAGAACTGAAAACAAGCAGAAAATGGATATTTTGTTATTTCCTGGCAGATATGCTTTATCCAGGAAACTTGCAATAGTCCATGGAAAAAGTTACTGATTATAAAAATAAATTTATGTACGTAAGTAGAATAATAAAAAAAAACTTTATTTCGGAACGAAAAGCATCAGTAACTTATATATATATATATATATTTTATCTTCCCAACATACAACTTCAAATGCTCACTCAACCCACCTCCCATTTTTATCGGCTTATTTTGTCTATCAGGCATTTTACGTCCAATATTGAGTAATATATATTTAATTTTAGGAAAACGTTTTTGATAAAGGGAACATAGAAAAAATTTTGACTTACTTGGATGCAATGATTCTGATTGAATCAACATTCACAGACCAATGGAAGATTGTTATCAACTCTAGCAGAAATCTTCTACTAGTATACATAATTACGTACATACATATATGCACACAGGCACAAACAGACATAAACACGCATATATATATATATATATATATAATCTCGTATATATATATATATATATATAATATATATATATATATATATAAATTCGCATATATATATATATATATATATATATATATATTTTATTTATATATATATAAATATATTTTCACAGATACATTTCTATCTGAAATTTTAACACACACACACACACACACACACACACACACACACACATATATATATATATATATATATATATATATATATATATATATATATTCTTCAGGTGGTTGGAATGTCGAACTGAACCATTTATTTCGCTCACTGGGGTAGAGTGTTCTAGTTCCACGTGCCATGTTTTGATGGATGTCAGTTATCAGTTATCTCCTTTTAATTTCCCTCTGAACGTTCTCCACTGCCTTAACCGGGTATTGAACTCACACTCTTTGGGTCCTGACACTGGATCTAACCAACGTCTTTATCCACTGTGCCATGTGAGAAAGAATGCCGGAGCGTACAACGGCCGAAACGTTGTAATAAATATGGCTTCAAAGATGAGGACAGTAGTCCGAATAAGGTAAATAGTGTACATAATACCACATCTCAGAAATATAAACAGGTACTGAAAGTTCGGAGACATTACGAATCATCAATCGCGGTATATGAAATATACACAAAGACATTACAAATATAAAAAAATATAAGGAAAAAACAGTAGCTATATTTTACTATTATTTGCAACTAAAAGTTTCAGGTAGACTGGTAGAATTGGTAAATATTACAGAAGCACAATCATCAGGCGAAGAAAGCGACAATAAAATACTCATTCCTTATATATTTTATATCTTATCATATATATATATATATAATATTAGTGATTAATATACACATATATATATGACGGTTTTTAATTTAATTTAGGTCAGCGATTCAGTAATGAATTATGTATCGGAAAATAATTCATATTTATCTGTATCTCACTCATTTAAATTTAATTCCTTTCTTTAAAACTTCTCTCTGTTAAATTTTAACCCCCACCTTCACTTTTAGGCATTCCTGTTCTTCTCTCGTCTGTTACCCCCCCTCTCTATAGCTTTCATTTACTTCTCACATTCGCCCCCCACTCTCATACATACACTCTCACTATATTAATTATTTTTTCCTTTTGAATTTTTAGTTCTGATGCATTGGATCGTAATTACGATTCCAATGTAATAAATTATAACCATGGAATATTAGTGTTTAAACCTTTTTATAAATATATATATATATATATATATATATATATATATATATATATATATATATATATATATATATATAATATAGAATCTTATTAACTATATATTTTATTATAAATATATATACAATATAGAATCTTATTAACTATATATATATATATATATATATATATATATATATATATATATATATATATAAAGTTAATAAGATTCTACGTCTTTCGCCCTTAACGCCGGAAATATTCGTTGGGAAACGGATGTGTTGGAGCCGTCCAACATTTTCGTCCAATGTGTCACGGTCGTGTAACAGATGCTAGATTTCCGCGAATGATTTCTAGGTCTGCTCATCATGTGGCGTACCACATTACAAGAAAAGTTCAAATAAAATTCTCACTTAAAATTTTGAAAAACCTAGCGTTGCGTCTTTTTTTTTTTTGAATTTCGCTTGAAGATGGAACAGAGCTTACTTTAACTCAATTTAATTTAAATAATTATATTGAAGTTTTCGGCTCTTGTTTTGAAACATGAGACTTCTTATGTCGCGTTTTGGAATTATATTTTTAAATAAATAATTATATTTATGGTCTACTTTTGTATCGAAAATTATTTTTTAAAAATAATAACTAAAATACTAAGGAACTTTGGATTATTTACCTAACCAGTTCCTTCCTATTTTCTATATTTTTTTTTCACACACACACACACACACACACACACACACACACACATATATATATATATATATATATATATATTCAAAGCCACGATGAAAAGTTCTTTGCCCGAGCAGGACAGGAATAACATCTAGGCATGCTGTTCTATATATTTGCTCCATAGTTCAGCACGATTTTTACACTGTTTATCAAATAAAAGAAATAAGATTCTGATGTGATTTTTATTTTAAGCTGATAAGTTTTCAACACTTCCTTTTCTGAAACTTATCTGCTCAACCTATAAATATTTTGTGTCGTGAATCACTTGGTTGAGAAATGTTTAACAAAAAACGCATTCTATTTTTTTCTCCTTGTTTTTTTTTCACTGAATTATTTCTTTCTTCTTTCTGCTCCATTTCTATTAGTGCTTGTGTGTATGTATTCACGTGTTGGTGTAACATCATCAGCTGTATTCAATTTGTTCTGGAAGACTGGGATGATTGGCTATCAGCCTAAATCGTCATCGATCTGTTACTGTCTTTAAGGAGGACCATTTGCTCTTTGACATCTTTGCAAAGATTTGAACGAACGAAAGAAGCGTCGAAGCAGACGCGATTAAAGAACGAACAACAAATCTATTAGCGTTGGCGGGCTTACCAAATTGGTTGGAACAACAAAGCTACAACGATGATAAGAAACAAAGAGAGAGAGTGAGAGAGAGAGAGAGAGTGGGAGAGAGAGAGACGGAGGGAAGAGTTGGAGAGACGGAGGGAGAGATAGAGAAAAAATCATAAAGAAAAAAGTACGGAAGACGTAGGAATATAAGGGAGAAAGAGAGAGGGTAATGGTTAGCAAGCTTGTCTCGCGAGAATAATTACAACTGAGTAGTGAGTTCGATCCTCACTGTGTGCCCCCTACTTTCGGCCTTGTGCCAAATCTAAGCTACGCTTAGAAAATCACTATGGGAGAAAGAGGGAGAAGAAGAAAGGCAATAAGATACCCATTTCTTATATATCTTATTAATTATATATATATATATATATATATAACGTCATCCACAGACAGACTGTTTCGCTGTTTCACAGCTCATCAGTGTGGCTAGACATCCGGTTGCCTCTCGCATTTGATGTCAGTCGGAGATTCTAACCATTAAGCCGTCGGAAGAAAAACAGAACAATTTAAGGTACCATTATAATAATTTATTTCACCAGAGTCCTTTTAAAATGACGCCGGATCATCAGATAGAACTTCCAACAACGAAATGAAACGAAAAATGAGATTAAAATTGATGGGTAATGTAAGTTTTTGTAATTTAACAGGTGGTGTGAGAGGGATAGTTAAAGATACATGGTAGAGTATAGGGAGGGGTTAATTTCATATCTCTCTCAAGTGTACTTTATATTGGGGTAGGAGGAGTGACCAGAACGTGACCTAATTGGATGGTTAACTTAACGGAAATGATATATAGAAATGGGAGGGGTGTAGGGAGAAAAGAAAAAGAAAAAATGAAAAAGAAAGAGGAGACAGAAAACAGTAATACAGATATATACAAAGTGTTACAGCAGGGAGAGAGGGAGAGGGAAGTAAATCGAAAGAGGCTGTAATTGGGTTTTAACAATTTATGTAAAGGATAGATTTCAATGCTTGATAGAAATTTTGATGTCTACAAAGAATATGATGATTACTATCAATTTAAATATTTAATTTTTTAAACAAATAGTTTAGGGGCTTAATATAAGTTAACTACTATTTTTATTAACACATTTCTAGAGAAAATATTAAAGAAGTATTTTAAATTATAATACTTTATTTACCCGACCAATCGTACTTCCTTAATATTGTATATATATATATATATATATATATATATATATATATATATATATATAGTTAATAAGATGCTACGTCTTCTTTCGCCCTAAACGCCGGAAGGATTCGTTGGGACACGGATGTGTTGAGCTGTCCACTATTGTCCTCCAATCTCTCACAGTCGTGTACCAGAGCATGGCTTTCCTCGAATGGCTTCTAGGTGTGCTCATCATGTGGCGTGTCTTGGCAATTTTAACCTGGCGAAGCCTATTTGACTACAGGATATTGAATAACATATAGGAAATTAAAAACGATTCAAACCCACGAATTAACAACTAAATTTAAAGAAGTACAAACGGGCGAGAGAAATTGATTAGAAGTACCGAGAAGAGAGACTGAATGGGAAAAATATTGAGATAGATAGATAGATAGATGAGAAGTAAAAAAGAGAGAGTAAGAAAGTGAGTGGGAGACGGAGAAAGAGTAGAAATAAATAGAAGAGTGAGAAAAAGTGCGGTATAAGAGTAAATAAGCACAAATGTAATATTATATACCGTAATTCTCCATATATAATACGCATTTTTTTTCTAAAAAAAAATAAGCAAAATTAGGGGTGCGTATTATGCACAGCTACAAAAAATCTTTAAAAAATTGCCGTTTCATAGGTCGATTTCAGTTGCGAAATGACTACTCACCACAAACATACGACAATTTGATACTAACATTTGACGATTGCGACCCCATAGGGATGTCAAATACAATATTTACCTTACAATACTTACAAATGTAAAGTAAGAATTATAATAAAACTAAATTATTATATATATACTATGTATTTATATTATTATATATTATACTATGCTTAAAATCATTTTTAATAAGAGTAGGAAACTCTGGCCGTAATGAAACAGAAGAAATACAATTTATAGGGTTTGATTAACAAAAAATGGATGGTAATTATGCGTGAGTAGAACCATTTTTCCACACTTTCAGCACAATATAAGGGGTGCTTATTATGGATGAAGGCGTATTATACATGGGGAATTACGGTATCCTCAGGCTATTCTCTACATTTATAAGAGCCAGATCAGCCACAAATGGATAATTGGGCGAGAGTTGATCAAACCTTACTCTCCAGGTTGATAGAATTCAAGAAAGTCTCTGAGCCCTTGTGGGTCACTAATTATTCTCTACTCTACCAAACTCTCTCTCACAGGCAGGATGTATGAATCCTCTCATTGCTCTATCGCTACCTCCACGGAAAGTGATCAGACGGACTGCTGGTCAATCCATTTCAAACCTTTATGGCGAAGACACTACATGCCACTTACATCGTAGCAAACCATCCACATTGTCTCCGTATTCCATCGCTGAGAATCCAGTCCCACTCAAATAGCTTCTTCCAGAGAACCACTGCTCTGTGGAACAGACACCTTATAGGATGTTTCCTTAGTCATTACAATCTTAACCTGTTTAAAGTAAGGTTAACCGTTGTCTTCCTGGGCTCAAACCATCTACCTCGAGTGACCCACTCCTGGACTTGTACAGAGACAACCTTACTGTGTTTAATAAAGATATTTCGCAATATGTTCAGGTAGGTCAGGTAGGTAAGAAAGTGTCCAGAGACTTGAGAGGAAGGGCACTCTCAACAGTGAAAAGGATCTCGTGAAGGTATAGAAATGAATGAATAATAACAAGGATAATGACAACAATGACAGCAAGTATCTGGTGAAGGTATAGAAATGAATGAATAATAACAAGGATAATGACAACAATGACAGCAAGTATCTGGTGAAGGTATAGAAATGAATGAATAATAAAAAGGATAATGACAACAATGACAGCAAGTATCTGGTGAAGGTATAGAAATGAATGAATAATAACAAGGATAACGATAACAATGACAGCAAGTATCTGGTGAAGGTATAGAAATGAATGAATAATAACAAGGATAATGACAACAATGACAGCAAGTATCTGTTGAAGGTATAGAAATGAATGAATAATAACAAGGATAACGACAACAATGACAGCAAGTATCTGTTGAAGGTATAGAAATGAATGAATAATAAAAGGATAACGACAACAATGACAGCAAGTATCTGGTGAAGGCATAGAAAATGAATGAATAATAACAAGGATAATGACAAACAATGACAGCAAGTATCTGGTGAAGGTATAGAAATGAATGAATAATAACAAGGATAATGACAACAATGACAGCAAGTATCTGGTGAAGGTAAAGAAATGAATGAATAATAACAAGGATAACGACAACAATGACAGCAAGTATCTGTTGAAGGTATAGAAATGAATGAATAATAACAAGGATAATGACAACAATGACAGAAATGAATGAATAATAACTGGTGAAGGTATAGAAATGAATGAATAATAACAAGGATAACGATAACAATGACAGCAAGTATCTGGTGAAGGTATAGAAATGAATGAATAATAACAAGGATAATGACAACAATGAATGAGCAAGTATCTGGTGAAGGTATAGAAATGAATGAATAATAACAAGGATAACGACAACAATGACAGCAAGTATCTGGTGAAGGTATAGAAATGAATGAATAATAACAAGGATAACGACAACAATGACAGCAAGTATCTGTTGATCTGTGAAGGTATACAAATAATGAAATGAATGAATAATAACAAGGATAACGACAACAATGACAGCAAGTATCTGGTGAAGGTAAGAAATGAATGAATAATAACAAAGGATAATGACAACAATGACAGTATCTGGTGAAGGTATAGAAATGAATGAATAATAACAAGGATAATGACAACAATGACAGCAAGTATCTGGTGAAGGTATAGAAATGAATGAATAATAACAAGGATAACGACAACAATGACAGCAAGTATCTGGTGAAGGTATAATAAAATGAATGAATAATAACAAGGATAAGGCAAGGACAACAATGACAACAAGGATAATGACAACTGGTGAAGGAATATAGAAATGAATGAATAATAACAAAATGGATAAATGAATAATAACAAGAATAACGATAACAACAATGACAGAAATGAATGAATAATAACAAGGATAATGGTGAAGGTATAGAAATGAAAATGAATAATAACAAGGATAACGACAACAATGACAGCAAGTATCTGGTGAAGGTATAGAAATGAATGAATAATAACAATGATAATGAAATGACAATGACAATGACAGTATCTGGTGAAGGTATAGAAATGAATGAATAATAACAAGGATAACGATAACAATGACAGCAAGTATCTGGTGAAGGTATAGAAATGAATGAATACTAACAAGAATAACTATAACAATGACAGCAAGTATTTGGTGAAGGTATAGAAATGAATGAATAATAACAAGGATAACGACAACAATGACAGCAAGTATCTGGTGAAGGTATAGAAATGAATGAATAATAACAAGGATAATGACAACAATGAAAGCAAGTATCTGGTGAAGAATGAATAATAACAAGGATAACATAGAAATGAATGAATAATAACAAGTATAACGATAACAATAACAGCAATTATCTGTTGAAGGCATAGAAATAAATTAATAATAACAAGGATAACGATAACAATGACAGCAAGTATCTGGTGAAGGTATAGAAATGAATGAATAATAACAAGGATAACGACAACAATGACAGCAAGTATCTGGTGAAGGTAATGAATAATAAATAAGGATAATGAAATGAATGAATATCTAAGGTATAGAAATGAATAATAATAACAACAATGACAATGACAGCAAGTATCTGGTGAAGGTATAGAAATGAATGAATAATAACAAGGATAACGACAACAATGACAGCAAATACCTGGTGAAGGTATAGAAATGAATGAATAATAACAAGGATAATGACAACAATGACAGAAAGTACCTGGTGAAGGTATAGAAATGAATGAATAATAACAAGGATAACGACAACAATGACAGCAAGTATCTGTTGAAGGTATAGAAATGAATGAATAATAACAAGGATAACGATAACAATGACAGCAAGTATCTGGTGAAGGTATAGAAATGAATGAATAATAACAAGGATAACGACAACAATGACAGCAAGTATCTGGTGAAGGTATAGAAATGAATGAATAATAACAAGGATAACGACAACAATGACAGCAAGTATCTGGTGAAAGGCATAGAAATGAAGGTATAGAAATGAATGAATAAATAATAACAAGAATGAACTGAATGAATAACAATGACAGAATGCAAGTATCTGGTGAAGGTATAGAAATGAATGAATAATAACAAGGATAACGACAACAATGACAGCAAGTATCTGGTGAAGGTAGAAAAATGAATGAAACAATATAACGAAACAATGACAGATAATGAAATGAATGAATAACAATGACAACAATGACAGCAAGTATCTGGTGAAGGTATAGAAATGAATGAATAATAACAAGGATAACGACAACAATGACAATGAAGTATCTGGTGAAGGCATAGAAATGAATGAATAATAACAAGGATAACGATAACAATGACAGCAAGTATCTGGTGAAGGTATAGAAATGAATGAATAATAACAAGGATAATGACAACAATGACAGCAAGTATCTGGTGAAGGTATAGAAATGAATGAATAATAACAAGGATAACGACAACAATGACAGCAAGTATCTGGAAGGTATAGAAATGAAATGAATAATAACAAGGATAACGATAACAAATATCTGAATGAAATAATAATAAGATAACGATAACAGCGACAACAATGAATAATAACAGACAGCAATTATCTGGTGAAGGCATAGAAATGAATGAATAATAACAAGTATAACGATAACAATGATAGCAAGTATCTGGTGAAGGTATAGAAATGAATGAATAATAACAAGGATAACGATAACAATGACAAAAATATCTGGTGAAGGTATAGAAATGAATGAATAATAACAATGATAACGATAACAATGACAGCAAGTATCTGGTGAAGGTATATGAGAAATGAATGAATAATAAATGACAAGGATAACGACAACAATGAATAATAACAAGTATCTGGTGAAGGTATAGAAATGAATGAATAATAACAAGGATAACGATAACAATGACAGCAAGTATCTGGTGAAGGTATAGAAATGAATGAATAATAACAAGGATAACGACAACAATGACAGCAAGTATCTGGTGAAGGTATAGAAATGAATGAATAATAACAAGAATAACGATAACAATGACAGCAAGTATTTGGTGAAGGTATAGAAATGAATGAATAATAACAAGGATAATGACAACAATGACAGCAAGTATCTGGTGAAGGTATAGAAATGAATGAATAATAACAAGGATAATGACAACAATGACAGCAAGTATCTGGTGAAGGTATAGAAATGAATGAATAATAACAAGGATAACGACAACAATGACAGCAAGTATCTGGTGAAGGTATAGAAAATGAATGAATAATAATGACAATGGATAACGAAAATAAACAAATAACGAATGACAATGACAGCAAGTATCTGGTGAAGGAATAATAAAAAGGATATAGAAATGAATGAATAATAACAAGGATAACGACAACTATGACAAAGTATCTGGTGAAGTCATAGAAATGAAATGAATAATAAGAAGAATGATAACGATAAACAATGACAGCAAGTATCTGGTGAAAATATAGAAATAAATGAATAATAACAAGGATAACGATAACAATGACAGCAAGTATCTGGTGAAGGTATAGAAATGAATGAATAATAACAAGGATAACGACAACTATGACAGCAAGTATCTGGTGAAGGTATAGAAATGAATGAATAATAACAAGGATAACGATAACAATGACAGCAAGTATCTGTTGAAGGTATAGAAATGAATGAATAATAACAAGGATAACGACAACAATGACAGCAAGTATCTGGTGAAGGTATAGAAATGAATGAATAATAACAAGGATAATGACAACAATGACAGCAAGTATCTGGTGAAGGTAAATGAATGAATAATAACAAGGATAATGACAACAATGACAATCTGGTGAAGGTATAGAAATGAATGAATAATAAATAATAATGACAACAATGACAGCAAAATATCTGGTGAACAGCAATTATAGAAATGAATGAATAATAACAAGGATAATGACAACAATGACAGCAAGTATCTGGTGAAGGTATAGAAATGAATGAATAATAACAAGGATAACGACAACAATGACAGCAAATATCTGGTGAAGGTATAGAAATGAATGAATAATAACAAAGGATAATGACAACAATGACAGCAAGTAAAGAATCTGGTGAAGGTATAAGAAATGAATGAATAATAACAAGGATAATGACAACAATGACAGCAAGTATCTGTGAAGGTATAGAAATGAATGAATAATAACAAGGATAATGACAACAATGACAGCAAGTATCTGGTGAAGGTATAGAAATGAATGAATAATAACAAGGATAATGACAACAATGACAGCAAGTCTGGTGAAGGTGGAAATGAAATAATAACAAGGATATAACAATGAAATGAATGAATAATAATAACAAGGATAACGACAACAATGACAGCAAGTATCTGGTGAAGGTATAGAAATGAATGAATAATAACAAGGATAACGACAACAATGACAGCAAGTATCTGGTGAAGGTATAGAAATGAATGAATAATAACAAGGATAATGACAACAATGACAGCAAGTATCTGGTGAAGGTATAGAAATGAATGAATAATAACAAGGATAACGACAACAATGACAGCAAGTATCTGGTGAAGGTATAGAAATGAATGAATAATAACAAGGATAATGACAACAATGAAAGCTAATATCTGGTGAAGTCATAGAAATGAATGAATAATAACAAGTATAACGATAACAATGACAGCAATTATCTGGTGAAGGTATAGAAATGAATGAATAATAACAAGGATAACGACAACAATGACAGCAAGTATCTGGTGAAGGTATAGAAATGAATGAATAATAACAAGGATAATGACAACAATGACAGCAAGTATCTGGTGAAGGTATAGAAATGAATGAATAATAACAAGGATAATGACAACAATGACAGCAAGTATCTGGTGAAGGCATAGAAATGAATGAATAATAAAAAGGATAATGACAACAATGACAGAAGTATCTGGTGAAAGTATAGAAATGAATGAATAATAACAAGGATAATGACAACAATGACAGCAAGTATCTGGTGAAGGCATAGAAATGAATGAATAATAACAAGGATAATGACAACAATGACAGCAAGTATCTGGTGAAGGCATAGAAATGAATGAATAATAACAAGGATAATGACAACAATGACAGCAAGTATCTGGTGAAGAATGATAGGAAATAAATGAATAATAACAAGGATAATGAATAACAATGACAGCAAAGTATCTGGTGAAGGTATAGAAATGAATGAATAATAACAAGGATAACGATAACAATGACAGCAAGTATCTGGTGAAGGTATAGAAATGAATGAATAATAACAAGGATAACGATAACAATGACAGCAATTATCTGGTGAAGGTATAGAAATGAATGAATAATAACAAGGATAACGATAACAATGACAGCAAGTATCTGGTGAAGTCATTGAAATAAATGAATAATAACAAGGATAACGATAACAATGACAGCAAGTATCTGGTGAAGGTATAGAAATGAATAAATAATAATAAGGATAACGAGACAGCAAGTATCTGATAAAATGATGAATAATAAAAAGGATAATGACAGCAATTATCTTGTGAAAGTATAGAAATGAATGAATAATAACAAGGATAACGACAACAATTACAGCAAGTATCTGGTGAAGGTATAGAAATGAATGAATAATAACAAGAATAACGATAACAATGACAGCAAGTATTTGGTGAAGGTATAGAAATGAATGAATAATAACAAGGATAATGACAACAATGAAAGCTAATATCTGGTGAAGTCATAGAAATGAATGAATAATAACAAGGATAACGATAACAATGACAGCAAGTATCTGGTGAAGGTATAGAAATGAATGAATAATAACAAGGATAACGATAACAATGACAGCAAGTATCTGGTGAAGGTATAGAAATGAATGAATAATAACAAGGATAACGATAACAATGACAGCAAGTATCTGGTGAAGGTATATAAATGAATGAATAATAACAAGGATAACGACAACAATGACAGCAAGTATCTGGTGAAGGTATAGAAATGAATGAATAATAACAAGGATAACGACAACAATGACAGCAAGTATCTGGTGAAGGTATAGAAATGAATGAATAATAACAAGGATAATGACAACAATGACAGCAAGTATCTGGTGAAGGTATAGAAATGAATGAATAATAACAAGGATAATGACAACAATGACAGCAAGTATCTGGTGAAGGCAAGGAAATGAATGAATAATAACAAGGATAATGACAACAATGACAGCAAGTATCTGGTGAAGGTATAGAAATGAATGAATAATAACAAGGATAATGACAACAATGACAGCAAGTATCTGGTGAAGGTATAGAAATGAATGAATAATAACAAGGATAACGCCAACAATGACAGCAAGTATCTGTTGAAGGTATAGAAATTAATGAATAATAAGAAGGATTTGTCAGATATTTCTGAGATGAAGGTATTATGTAAACATTTAATTAATAATGAATCTTTGTCATATATTTGGTGAAGGTTTCGAAATTGAATGAATAATAACAAGGATAATGGTTGCAATGACAGAAGTATCTGGTGAAGGTATAGAAATGGGGTGAATAATAACATTCCATAATGACAACAATGATGGATGTCTGGTTATCAAGTTATCTCCTGCTAATTTTCCTCTGAAAGGTTCTCCAATGAATTAACCAGAATTGAACTCAGGCATAAAAATGGGTAATCACTGCATAATAACAACAATGACATCCACTGTATCATCTGGGTATAGAAATGAATCCATAATCATCTGGATAACAATGAACTTCTGAGTATTTTAAACCTAATGTTTTCAGCATCAATTTAACAAGGATGCTCATATTGAAATTTTTCTGAAATATAGAAATAAATGAATAATGCAAGGATAATGACAACAGATGACAGCATATCTTGAAGGTTTAGAAATGAATGAATAATAAAAGGATAATGACAACAATGACAGCAAGTATCTGGTTCCCAATAGAAATGTATTTATAATAACAAGGATGGTGACAACAATGACAGATTTTGTGAAGGTATAGAAAATGAAGGATTTACAAATTTTCCAATAACCCTGGTCTATGATAATAATGATCCCAGCAGGGGCGGAAATGATGAATAATAACAAGGATAATGAAAACTGACTCCATATGTGGTCAAGGCATAGAAATGAATGAATAATAACAAGGATAATGACAACTTTGACAGGTGTATCTTGAAGTATAGAAATCTTTCCGAATGCATGAATAATAATAACAGTCTTTGAAACAATGACAGCAAGTATCTGGTGAATGTATAGAATGTGAATAATAACAAGGATAAATGACAGCAAGTATCTGGTGAAGGTTTAGAAGGTTGTATGCCAAGATGTTAACAATAGACAGCAAGTATCTGGTGAAGGTATAAATGAATGAATATTTTATAATGACAAATACAGAAGTATCTGCACAAATGAAATGAACGAATAATAACAAGGATAATGACAACAATGACAGCAAGTATCTGGTGGAGTCAATGAATGAATAATAACAAGGATAACTTCAACAATGACAAAGTAGGAAGGAAATGAATGAATAATAAAAGGATAATGATCAATGACAGAAGTATCTGGTGAAGGTATAGAAATGAATGAATAATAACAAGGATAATGACAACAATGACAGAAAGCCTTGGTGAGAGTATAGAAATGAATGAATAATCTAACATAATGATAACTGGAGGTATAGAATGACATAATTGGATCTGATGACAGTAAGAAATGAAATGAATAATAACAAGGATAATGACAACAATGACAGCGAGTATTCAGAAGATGGACAAATCGGAATATACAAGAAAACAAGACCTCATGACAACAAGGATAGTGAAGGTATAGAAATGAATGAATAATAACAAGGATAATGACAACAATGACAGCAAGATATCTAATAAGAAATAGAAGGATAATGACGTATAAGGCAGAAATGAATGAATAATAACAAGGATAATGACAACAATGACAAAAAGTATCTGGTGAAGGTATAATATGAATGAATAATAACAAGGATAATGACAACAATGACAGCAAGTATCTGGTGAAGCCACCCTCTGAATAATAACAAGGATAATGACAACAATGACCCAATTATCTGGTGAAGGTATAGAAATGAATGAATAATAACAAGGATAATGACAACAATGACAGCAACAAGGAAGGCAAATAAATGAATGAATAATAACAACAATAATGACAACAATGACAGTAAGTATCTGGTGAAGGTATAGAAATGAATGAATAATAACAAGGATAATGACAACAATGACAGAAAGTATCTGATGAAGGGTATAGAAATGAATGAATAATCACAAGGATAATAGAAAGGATCTGGGAAGGTAAATGAATGAATAATAAAAGGATAATGACAACAATGAGATGTTGACTTTCTGTACACAAACAACACAATTCCAAGGGATAATCTCAACAATGACATATATCGACAGGATGAGGGCTTAGCAATGGGATCGACATTATCACCAGCAATGGCGAATATATATGAATGAAATACTTTGAAGAAATGGCATTAGAGTCTATATCGAATGAATAAAGCCAACTATATGGTTACGGAAATGGATGACAATAAAAAGGATTTCATACTCTGGCCACATCAGGAAATGAATGAAAGATAATAACAAGGAAGTCCAATGGTTCTTCTGGACCATGTGAACTCAATAATACCTAATGACAATGACAGTTCACAATGGAGAAAGAGAATAACAATTCAATCCCATTCCTGGATGGTACTAATATCTCGAATATACCGGACAATACCTCAATTTCAACTCCCACCATCCATGAATAATAAAAGAAATAATCGATAATGCAGCAACACCGAGCAAAAGAAATCAATAATAATAACAATGTAACGATCCAGAGACGTTGAAGAATAAAATGAATGAATAATAACAAGGATATAAACAATGACAGTACCCTAGAAATGAATGAATAATAAGGATACATGATAACAATGAAAGCCCCAAAACTGAAGGTATAGGCGGGTACAAGAAGGATAAGGAGGAGGATCTGGGAGGACAACAACACTCAGAAAAAACAATGCCTGCCTTACTGGTGAAGGGGTTATCAATGAATGAATAATACAAAGGATCTGCGGTCCATATAACACAGGACAACCTTCAAAAAAGAAGGACAACAAATCGAAGGTATAATAACCCCATAACGATAACAATGACTAAAAGACTCTGTGTGTACGCTATGAATGAATAATAACAAGGAAAGGAATATAAAAGGAGAGACAATGCCGCCCCCTAACGATAACAATGGTATCTAGTGAAATAGAAATGAATGAATAACACTGATGTAATGACAGAATTATCTGGGAAGTATAAAAATGAATGAATAATAACAATGGATAAACGATAACAATGACAGCAATTATCTGTGGGATCAGAAATGAATGAATAATAGACAAGGGAACACCAACATTGGAAAATTCTGTAAAGGTATAAATGAATCAGCACATATGCAAGGACATCTCCTGAGTATACCAAATGAATGAAATAAATACAATAACGATAACAATACATAAGTATTTGCCAAGGTAAAAATGAATGATAACAAAAGTAATGACAACAATGAACTAATATCTGAAGTAAAGAAATGAATGAATAATAACAGAAAACGATTTGACAGAGCATCTGGTGAAAAATGAAATGCTGAAAACATTAACGTTTATAATGACTTTGAAGTCATAGAAATGAATGAATAATAACAAGGACAACATGACAGCAAATATCTGGTGGATAAAATGAATGAATTAGATAACCAACAATGACAGATCCAAAGATAGAAAAGTTCAATTAACAAGGATAACTTTCAATGAGGGAAAATTTGAGGTAGGAGAAATAAATGATAATAACAAGGATAATGATCCAATGACAAACATCTGGCAAGGTGGAATTAATGAATAGGATAATGACAACAATGACAGAAATAAAGGGTTCAAGTAATGACAAAATTCCAACCACCTGAAGAAGGCCGAAACGTTGTGACAAATATGGCGACAAAGATGAAGGTACAATAGTCTGACTAATAAGAAGGATATTGACAACAATGACAGCCAGTATCTTGTGAAGTTATAAAAATGAATGAATAATAACAAGGACAATGACAACAATGACAGCAAGTATCTGGTGAAGTCATAGAAATGAATGAATAATAACAAGGATAACGATAACAATGACAGCAAGTATCTGGTGAAGGTATAGAAATGAATGAATAATAACAAGGATAACGATAACAATGACAGCAAGTACCTGGTGAAGGTATTTTGAATGAACAATAACAAGGATAACGATAACAATGACAGCAAGTATCTGGTGAAGGTATCAGGTGGTTAAAATGACTGAATAATAACAAGGATAACGATAACAATGACAGATGGATATTTATCTTATGGGTCTGTGATGACTGAATAATAACCAAGGATAATCTGGGTAACAATGATCCCCTCTGAAAGCATCTAGACATATTGGGATGGCCAAAAATTTTTCTGTTATCATTGCAAAGCTTTTCAGAGTATCATAAGACAGGAGGTTATCATTGCTTTTCTTTGGTAACAAAGAAAGAATACTGAGCTTGGTCGGGGAGATTTTTGACATCTGTTCTTCTTTACAGGCAGCAAATGGTGGACCTTTTCCTCAAGATGAAGAAGAGACTCAAAGCCTCAGAGATGTGGTTCTGAAACGGATGCTAAGGATATCATGGACCTTAGCATGTGAGGGCGGCCTGATCTCCTTAGGTCCCGCAGCTAGGGAGGATGCAAAACAAGAAATCTTAAACTTAACATCATAAAGAGGCAGCTGAAGTTTCTGGGACACATAACGAATAAGGTAGGAAGTGGCGAATCTGATACTCACAGATCAAATAGGGGATAAAGAGACCAAGGAAAGCAGCGTGTAGATATACCTGACGAGCTTGAGCATGTGGATGACAGAACGTGGTCTGGGGGAGGAAGCAGGGCGAAGGAACTTTCTGAGCGATGCAAGGGATAGAGGGAGGTGGAGAGCCATGATCACCTCCGTCCTGAAAGGACATGGCACATAAAAAGAAAGAATTAATTTTTTTTTATGAAAAATAGGATTTTCAGCTGCATATCCCACTACTTCTACTAACAATGTTGGCTCTTGAAGTTTCTTGCGGTTTCAGTTTGAACCTTTGCGGTAACACTTAAAACAAACAAGTAAATTCAAATAATAATAATCCGAAATGCATGGTCTGCGGAAATATGATGGATCTTCCGATCATATTATTTCAGGATGTCCGGAAATAGCAAAAAATGAATACTGACATAAAAAGTTAGCGACATATGTGCACTGGAAGATATGCAAGAAGCACAAAATCGAAACCACTGAGAGATGCTATCAACACCGACCAGACACATTTACCCAAAATAACAATGTAACTATCCTCTGGGACATGCCAATTCAAACTGACAGGGTAATAAAAGCCAAGAGACCTGATATTATCATAAAAGACAAGAAATTCAGGAAGTGTATGCTTATTGAAATAAGAAACACCTTCATGAAAATTATCGAGAAATTGTTCAAATACTGGAAATCAAGATTAACATGATGTGGGGAATGAAGACTTAGACTGTCGTACCAATAGTAATCGGAGATCTGGGCCTAGTGAGAATAGGAATGGGCAATTTTGCTAAGTGTTCCCAGGTAAAATCAACATACAATTTTCCCAGAAGATTTCCCTACTAGGAACATCACTTATACTAACAAAAGTGCTATCAATTAAATTAAAAGTCTCCTATAGGGTCTAAGGACCATAGTCTGGACACGGCTCTACAGGATACAAAGCAGAAAACATAACATACACGAATAATAATAATAATAATAATAATAATAATAATAATAATAATCGAACAAGATGGTATACAACATAATCAAATGAAGGAGAAGATAAGAAAGAAGTACTACAAGCGTGTGCGTCTGGTACTAAATACCGAGCTGAACTTAAAAAAACAGAATATCAGCCATAAACAACTTGGTTATCCCTGTAGTGCAATACAGCTTTAATATCCTATAACTGACATTAAGCGAATGGATGCCAAAGCAAGAAAGCTTCCCACTTGCTACCGTATCCATCATCCGAAAGCTGAAAGCCCAGATCCGAAGGAGGCAGAGGATTAGTTCAACTAAAACAGTTCTATAAAATTACAATAATTGACCTTCAAAGGTACCTGGAAACCACAGAAAACTGGATGATGATATGTGTCAAAGAACATGAAAGTAGTAAGCGCCTTTATTCCGTAATAAGAGAAGCCAACAAGTTCAAAATGGAGTTTCAAATGGATGCCGAAATACAAGTAAAGCATAATACACCGACTGAATCTGCAAAATGCATAAAAAAGAAAGCAAAAACAGATGCAACTGAACAGAGACAGAAATAATGGCAAGATAAACCGCTTCATGGCCAAAACTCTGCAGGTACCAAATAAGCTGATGTAAACAAGCCCCGTACATATCAGTGGCTATGTAGTGCAAGGTTAAAAGTTGAAACGGAAGGTTTTAAACTTGCTGCACTGGATCAGTTCTTGTTAACTAGGAATTATCCTTATTGATGTGGCAGTGCCTGCAGACTGCAATGTATCTTTGAAGATATTCAAAAAGCTATCAAAATACAAGGACCTTGAAATCGAAATCTAAAAAATGTGGCACATGGGAACA